CAGCTCCTATGACTCCTCTGGGCCAGAAGTTTTATTGCAATAGCGCAATCTAAGATAGCAAGTCTCTTCAAAATGAGGCACTGTAATAAAATTCGTGTTTCGAAACGATCGATAATTGATTTATTGAATCTGGCAGAGAGCTCACCAGCCAGCCAAACGAGTTATGTACTCTTACATGCGGGCGAATGTGGTTTAGTGGAAAGTGGCGCACTTCACACTTGATGGTCAGGGGTTCGAGTTCCGAATCGACATCCGCCTAGGCCAACCAAGCCTTCCATCCGTCCGGGGTCGGTTAGTTGGTATCAGACTCGTCTGGGAATATAAAAGCACGATTTGTACATCGGCTGGTCACCACAAGTTATTGTATAGGCCACATACGCAGTCACGACGCCTTTACGATTCTGAACGAAGGTCGAATGCGCGGGCATCTCCCCCAGACGGGATTAACGCCCCAGGACTTTAGACTTTTTCTCACATGCAGGGAGAAGAAGTGCGGGAACATTTGCATTCAATGTAACAACTAAAACCTTACTCACAAAAAAAGAGAAAGTAAGCAAAGCAAGTTGTCCTCAGTTGAGAAAATACAAACATCATCAAATGAACGACAGCGGAAGGGCATGCTTAAAATGCCATTGAAACAGAACATCGGAAAAGCTGAACCTCTGAAACTTCGGTCACAACCAAACTACGACGCAGGTATAAACGATGAACTGAATGTGGTATGGATAGGTAAATAATTAGATAAAAACTGTGTTCGATGATGTGGAAACATGCAAACAAAAGATTGGAGACGGGAGAATTACCGGCGAATATGTTGCACATACGGCTTTTGACTCAGATGGCAGATGGCCTGACAATCAGCGAATGATTTTACTTCACGTCAATTCCCTTTATCAGATGTATGAATCATACAAGTTATGTTTGCAAATTCCTGCTAATTCACTTTTTCTACGGTCTCAAAGGAGGTAAACATCAAAATAGAACTTTCAAGGGGAGACGGTATTGCCCAAAAGAGTCATATTCGTTTGCTATACAGCATCCAACCTTGTTCCAATAATAGTCAGAAGATCCAATCATAAAGTAGTAGAAATACTACAAAACAGCGAAGACTTCGGAGACAGTAATTTTGTCCAAAATAAACGAGAGGCCAATCGATGACAAAGGCGGAACGTTAACTTTTTTAAGTGGAAAGTAACCGCGATAGTTTGACGAAATCCTGCAAAGTTGGGCGGGTTTTCTTCAGAAAGACCATGACCTGGTCTGGGATGGTTCTGTGCTTAAGAAAATGGCTCGTATCAAAGAAAACTTTTTGGAGGATGAATTACAGTTCGGTCTGCGATTTCAAGTCCAGATGATGAGATATGAAGAGGATGAAAGGCATGCGCTGATCAACTTTCCTGAAATGCCCCTATAGTTACATTCCTAGCGAAGTGTGAGCTGAGCCTTAACCTCACAATGACTCGCAAGGATCATCTGCTGTTCTAATAAGTATTATATTTCACCTTTCCATACAGTTCCGAACCCAATCATGAATACGTGAAGGAAAATGTCATGAGCATCATAAAATTCGAGATTTGATCCAGGACCATACATGGGGTGATGGCGCCACTGAAATTACCACACCACCTCTTTTTTCATGACATCCTCAAGCCTTCTAGCAGCTTTCCGTCCTAATAGCCCAAATGGGAATAGGCTTGGCATGAACTTTGAATGATAACCTGGAGGTTGCCGTGACTTCAAATTTTCAACAAGCCACTCATAGATCTTATGGTTAGAGATGTTTTCCATCTGCTCTTCTTGAATGGGTGGAAATTGGCTATTAGTTATTAGTTTACAGCTACAAGTTAATTCACTCGAGAAGAAACAGACTGACAACAACTAAACGAAACTTGGAGACATATGTTTTTCCTGTATCAGATGTCTTTGTCTTTAAGAACCCAATCGATAGGAAAGTGAAAGAAGCTTTAAGAACCCAATCGATAGGAAAGTGAAAGAAAGCGAGAAATTCGGAAACAACAAAATCGAAAACTCATAGCACTTGCAAACAAGTGCAAGCGGCTGACAACGTTTCTCTGGAATTGCCGAGCATTACGTCAAACGCGACGTTGACTGCGCCATAAGATGAAAACACGATTTTTTCGCTGCACACCAAAGTTTTTCTAATCGAGGGTAGTCGTGTAGTTGTTAAGCGAAGCGAGGATGCTGACAGGATGAAAGAGAGTTCTATTATGAACTCGTGGCTGATACTATTATGAAGGTGACGGAGTGTTTCGAATCAGATCAGATCCAGATCATTAAAAACAGCCGTCAACCATGGGAGCACTGGAAAAGTCACACTTAAATCTCAAAAAACGCCTGAGTTGTATGTAAAAAGTATAACTATTGAACCACAATATCACGAAAAGTCTCATAGGTCTGTTGCGTTGTGGGCAAATCTTCAATTTCGGATGGGATGCGAACTGTGATGAAAGAACAGCAGTCTACAAAACTGAAAAACTTTTACGTCCTAATGAATATCATATTTCTCACCTTATTCTGAGAGGCTAGCACAGCAAGCAAGTATAAAGCGTTTGCACAATTTCTGCGTCAAACTCGATGCAGTGCATATTTGCATAAGTATTCAAAGGAATAACTACTTGGGAAATAGACATGGGAACATAAATTTTCCACAAATGACCTCCAATGCCGCAAATTAATTTTTGATCGAGAAAATGATATGGTCTCTAATGCCGCAAATGAGTTCAGGCTCTTGTGCTTGCATACTAACAATGAAAACCTTTAGTACTTTATAAAACCTCAACGCAATTTCAAACCGCATGAATATAAAAATCAAACACCCCAACTTTCAAGACTGTCCTGAATCTAATCACACAAGTGTGCTATCAATCACTTCGGAAACCAAATTCGTGAATGAGAACAGGGCCAGAAAGCTACTGTAGCAATATTGAGAGAAGACAAGTAAGAATGATTCTTAAAGTTTTGGTTTGTGAAGATGATGACAATCGACATTTTTAGAGAGACTTAAAAGCAGGAAGCAAAAGTTCCAATATCGAGCGGGAAGATTTTCAATACGGGTTGAGTGAGAGGACACTCTAGAGCATAGAGAAAGGGGAGGGGAGTCGTTGTGGGCACGTAATCATGCCCTGTGAGCAGGATTATAGAAAATTTTTGCTTGAAAGATGCGCAAAGAGGTCGAAGACATCACAGTGAAAGCCACAGGTCTAGAAAAACTCCATTGTGGCGCTTTTGAAACAATTTCGAAAACTCAACACAGAGGATAAACAAGCTGGACACAATTGACTTTGAGAGTGAAATGACATCTATTGCCCTTTCCCGGCAGTTAGCTTGAATACATACTTCCAAGCGATTGCATCACAATGTAAACATACTCACACAGTATCTCCACATACCTGAGAAACTAAATAGTGTGGACGTTTTGCGAATGAAATGAAACGACCAAACGAAGCCCAACGCCATGCATGGCCAACATGCCACGTTCCTTTGGAAAGAAAGGGGGCAGAAACTGGCATTGGTATTGAGAAGTGAAATAAGTGGGGATGAAAGTCAGAAAAAAGAAGTACACAATACAAATCAGGTGATATGGCAACCCAAAGAGTAAACAAACGTTGCAGAGTTGAAAAGCTGTAACGAAACCACTTTTTGGCGTCACATCATAGATACTCGCTGCAGTTACGGTCAAACGCACGCTAAAACAATTACTGCACGTCTCAAATTTGTCAGGTATTTTTAGCTGTTTGAATTTCATCATATCTGCTTCTTTTTTTCCCAGTTATCGAGCTAGGATGTCCTTATCATGATCAAGTAGTCCATTATCACCTTGTCACATCATCATTTGTTGAAAAACTTTTCTCTCTTCTGAGCTATGCTTGAGATGATTTGCTACTGTGTCAGCGTCATGGTTATATAATCACACTTTTATTGAACGCCAGCCACCCACCTCAAAGTTTTCGGACTGATCCATTATTGTATATTGCTGTGACCTCAACGGTCTGCGTTATATCTTCAATCTTACACCCAGGAATGTGATGGAATTAGACACGACAGTAGGATGGAACTAATGTCATCGTATTCCAGCGCTGGAGTTTTTGGATGTATTGTCCTCATAGAAGTTAGATCATCATATGGCTTGGTTAGATGCGAATGGAATAGCTGTGATCGAGTAATAGCTTGCTTATTTGTTGTTTGGTTACATTATTCAGGGGCACATCAACGTCGGAACCTTTTGTACCTCCTTTCACGGCGGGTCTTGTGGCTTTTTTTCTGTTTTTATGTCTTTGGCTTCCTCTGTCAATGCACTTTACGCAATGTCTTCTAGAGTTTTTGGCAGCTTATTATTTGAGGTATACGTTTCTATCTCTTCTTCACCCATCTTCACTACTTGGGATTCGCGATTTATTGATTCGTGAAAATGTCATTTTTTGTCGTCTCATCGCACTTTCGTCCATGCACTAGCGAAATCCTTTTCTTGCCTTCATCGTGAACTTCTGCGTCCTACCGGTATTCCCACATTCTTAGTTAGGGAATGCTGAAAATATATAATGGCTTAGTATTCTAGCCATTTCTTTATTGATCTCAGAAATCGTGCTATCCACCTTCTGCAATTTCACGGTTTGCTAGCTCGATAATTACCGAATACCTGGGACGCTTCATCTTTTCATGATTCTTCAGCAATAAAAGACACTTTGCCCTGTGCCCAGCAAACAAGGCTAATTTGTGGTCGAATTGACCCACATTTAAAGGCAGCGATAGAAATGGGATTTTTTACTTATTTGAATGTAGGTGTAGCAGAGCAGTAGCTATGTTATGCGTGAAAACGTACTAAGCGTTCCATCAGGCCTTGATCAACTTCTTTGTTTACACTGTCTACCTTACCAGTGGTTTCTTTTCAGGAGCTGTTTTCATGAGTAGACTCGCCATTGCTGAACATTTGAGCTTTTACAGCTTTTTACACCAGAGCCTGCAGTCTTATATATAATTAGGGTTTCCAGAGTGTGGTATGCCGTTTATACAAAATCGAAATTTTCTCCAGTCAAAATCACAGGATGGCCGCATGGATCCGGTAGACGATCTCAGGGATGAAAGATGTAAGTGTTCCATAGCAAGGTTTCTGTTCCTCCTAAAAACTCGAAACGATACTCTTTCTCAATACTGCCCAGTTTCTCGTTCCGCTAATGTGGTGGGGATAGGCATTATTTATTGTTCTCAGCTGGGTGCATAGGCTTGCTTTCACAAGATATGCGGAATGGGCGAATTGATGTGTGAACCACACGGTGCTCATTCTCTGCAATGTGTTTAATCAACAATGAATCGGATATCGTACAGTCTTTTATGCCCATGAGTTCGTTAAAAGAGTTAGAGGTGAGAGTCGTAGATTTCGTGGAATTGGTTGAGATCGACTTACTCCACTGTCTCTGTGTTTAAAAAAACCAATCGTGATTTTCTCTCTTTATTATTTACCAGCTCCAGAAAATATAGTTTATTGATTACCTAATGGGAATTCTTTGCGAAAATCAAGGCTTTCAGATTATCCAACGTCTTCAAGAGGGCCAGAAACATCCAATGCACCTAGATATGCTGCTACTACTACACCTCCTATAACCTCTGCCGCAACAGATGATCCTTTGGCTGGTGCGCTCCTAGGATTGGCTGAGTATGTTTGAAAATATTTAGATATTGATGCTTAGTGTTGAGTGTTGTGCATCCTTGTTGATAACTCAGGATCTTTTACTCATGCAGTGTTAGGATAAACTAGAATTTGAATAATGTTGAGAAATTTGTTCGTGACTTAATTGATATTTCTCAGTGTCACGACGAAATTTGCTATTGCACATCCATGTATGGTGCTTCGCCGACAATGTCAAGTTCATCAGAATGCGCGGTATCTGCATCTTACCCCATTTACGCTTGTACCTGTGGTGTGCAACATGGTCTCGAATGAGGTTAGAAAAGTTTTACTGAAAATTCAAGCTTGTCAAACAAGAAATTCAAAAGAATTGAAGTAGTTTAAAGATTTGCAGAGGTTACCGACAAGGAGTAACTGGTTAAGCGATAGTACGATAATGGCTGCTTTTGAGTAATTTGAGGATGTAGTCTATGCTTTCAGAAAAGTTCATGTGCTTTTTCTCTGACAAATGAGTTCTTTTAAGGGTATTTTGACCTTCTGGAAAGGTTCCATCGGATCCTGTGTTGTATGGGGTCTGTCAAACATGACGGAAATTGTCTTAGCTGACCTCCTTGGTTTGCCAAGGTATGCTTTTGGAATCACTATAAATACAAGCCGTAAATGATTTTGTCCGAGCTTCAGGCATGTTGTTCCCAATGGCAGTACCGAAAAGTATTGGAGGCACATTTTGTTGAAGGCGTACGTGACTACCTATTTTTTATTTTTCTGTTTTCTTTTTCCGTGAGAAATTGGTGGAGCGGCTTTTAAATCAATGAAAATGAATAAAAGTGTTCAGAAGTACATTTTTCGCCATGACTCCATTCTTCATTTCTGCTTTTACAGAAACAGTAAGGGTGAGTTTGATAGTACCTTTTACCATTTGATTATCCGATTTTCAATGAAAAAATTTTCTTACAGAGTGAAGCAGGCCTTGGCGGTGAAGGTCCCAATGTTATGGAGGTGCTTTTCAAGGGCGTCGATAGACTGAGGTAAGATTTGTGAAAATTAAAGCCCTATCTCAATTTCTGATTTTTGGAGCGGAAGGAGTGTGGGGTATTTATTTCTTTCCAGTCTTTTATACTTAGTAATATAATAATATAATATCGAACGGCTATACTATATTGTGGTATTTCAGACATAGTTGTAGCAGTTCTGGTGCTCGCAACTTTTAAAAAAATTGTTGTGTTGCAGGTTCCCAATTTTCGGCTCTCGTGATCCATCTCGTCGATTCTCCGTATTGCATCTGGCAGTGCCAACGGTGATCTACCGCACATCGCACTACATCATCCAGACGAAGTTGCATTACCAGTTCTTTAGAATGGCTCGGAAATACGTGGTTTGTTGAAAGGCCCCGGCAAAAGTGTTGGGTTTACTGAAAGCTGTCATGACTGTTATTTTCTTAGAACAAGAAGCCTGAATCGGAACGAACCAAGTTTCATCAGTATGTGCCTCAACTATTTGCACAAATGTCGTCTACGATCCTTACCGATCTTATTCTGTTTCCAATTGAGACGATAATGCATAGAATGTATATCCAAGGTTAGTTACTGATGTAAACTATTGTCCCTCCTTTTCTTTCTTATTGATCAATTTGATGTTCAGAGATGGATTCAGGTAGTTTTTCTTTCGTGATTTAGGAACTCGAACGCTCATTGACAACCTTGATACCGGTCTTTCCGCCATTTCCATCAATGCAAAATATAGCGGTTTTGCTGACTGCTTGCGATCCGTACTGCAACACGAAGGATTTTGGGCTTTATACGGCGTATGTGATTTTGTTAGATTTTTTTTCATTCCTCTATCAACGGTTGTTCAGGGTGTCGGAGCTCTAGCATTGGAGTACCTTCTCCATTCGCTGCTTCATCAAATCGTGCGAGCTTGTTTCGATAGAGGATCAGAGGTGGGTGTGGATTGACCGATTTTCCGTGGAATACCTTTGAGAGTGAGATACAGTTGGACCGGTCGCGGCCGAACTCAATGCAGGATGATGTTTCTGTCTCTACCCATCATGTTTGGGTAATAGTACCGAAGTTCACACATCGACCCTTATCTGATCAGCCTTTTACTTTTCATCTTTAAAATGAAAGACAAGGTAAAATCAGCTCTATAAGCCAGTGGAAAAAGCTGTATTTTTAATGAGGGCGCTGACCCTGACCGTTCAGGCTGCTCCTTCCTTTATCAATGGTGCTCACCTATCCCTATGGAGCATTACTCCTTTTTCGACAAAGTGCTTGCTTTTCAGGTTCTTCGGCGTGCAGTTGAAAGCAATCCGAATATAACACCGGTTCCGACTCCTTATGGAGGTTCGTTCGCATAATACCCTTCAATTTATGTTATTGTTACGATCATAGTTGACAGTTTAGGAGCGTTCGCTAGTTCTTTGAGGTCTTCAACAGGACCGCTTTCTGGTCCGTTCACTCAGCCTGTATCTCCAGTAATAAGTCCAATAAAGTCAGTCTATTTTTCCTTGTTTAAACTTTGCGAGCAAGTCAATCTTTCTCCCTTCAAAAAAATCTATGTTGTCAAGGCGAATTTCTGTTTAATGCTGCAGTAATACGTTCTCCGATTACTGCTGCTCGAATATTCGAAATTTTAATGTGTACGAAGATCACAGTAGTAAGATTGTCTACCATGCGATCCCCCTCATCGCATCACTTCGCTGGGAATTTTACTACTCTTACAGCAAGTATGAATGATAAAATGCAGCGCTTGCCGGTAACTGCTTGCTGAATTCTAGACTGAATTGGACGTGGTGCTTTCCCTTGATTTCGCTGCTTCCCTCCATATAAGNATTGTCTACAATGCGATCCCCCTCATTGCATCTTTTCGCTGAGAGTGTGTACTACCTCTCGAATTTTTAGAAAGTGTGAATAACTGAAAATGCAGCGCTTGCCGGTAACTGCTTGCTGAATTCTAGACTGAATTGGACGTGGTGCTTTCCCTTGATTTCGCTGCTTCCCTCCATATAAGGCATGCTTGTTTTGTGGTGTCACAATTAGAACTAGACAAACTTCGTGGGTGTTCGGTCTCTTGGTGGTTACCCTGGCAAGAAACCTCATCATGGTCCAATTGTATTGCTCATATAACTGAGCAAAACTGTGGACAGGTGGTTGTGCATCGCTGCACCGTGTTTTGATATTTGTTACAACAAAATATAGCTTGTGAGCTTGCTATGCCAATATTGTGTGTTGTGCAGGCAGTTTCCATCGTATACGCCTCCACTTCGTGATCCTACACAGTTTCCAACGTTTGGCGAATCCATTTCTCAACTGGATTCACCCTTTGCTGCACCTACACCTCCATTTCCTTTCCAGACAGGTCGTCCTAACGCTTTTGGTAGTCCACCAAGGTAAGTATAAGAGTTGATTTGTGTTTGCTTTTCATTGATTTTCCTTCATTTTGATTAGTTAGTTCTGATAATTCGCCTCACGTTCGGTGAAGCTCAAAGATGCATGCTATAATTCTTGAGCTGATACTGAGTTTGCAGCATTTGCTTGTGACTGAGATTTCACAGAGTAGCCTTCCTTTTAGTTGGCAAAAATATGGAGAAGTGTTCTCATAAGATTTTCGAACTGGATGAAGTCTTGTTAATTCGAATTCCAAAGCATCAGCGAACTTAAGGCTCGTCCGACGTCCAACAGTGTGTGTATGTCCTAATGTTGTATTAATTGCGACAGGTTCCTTGAGATTATCTCCAGTAGACCTTGTTGGGTGCTGTTTCTAGCTGAATAGGCCTTCTCCCGTCCGGTGTTTTAAATTTAATGGAANTTTTTTTTGTTCAACAAAGAAAGCTCTGTTTAGAACAATCGATCGGCCATCATCAGCGGGTTACATGTCCCCTCTTTCACTTGTGACAGACAGACCAGATGATCCGTATAATGGTTAGAATATTGTTGAGTCATAACGTTATTCATTTCGATATAGTCAAACTTAGGGAGCATATTGTTGTGTCAGATGCTTAACAAATTGAAAAGCAAAGCAGTATCCCTGTATATGATTCTTTTCTCGTAGTCTTTGCAAGAGTTTGGTCGTTCACAGCTACAAGCTGTAGTATAAGCTCTTTGTATTGATTGCTGATGATAATTAATCATTTGCAACATGACAGGCCAATCAGGGCTGGAGAAAAATATTAGCAATTAGATGATGACATTCATTCGATTATCGATTTGTCAGCTCTCATCATATTGCATTTGTTTAGTTTTAGAATAAAGATTTTCAGGAGTTCCACCGTGTTTGTAATAATCGTAATATGCGATTTTGATACTTTTATGTCTAACTGTACGTGCACATTAAATTTTCTTTCTCCGACACAGTTCAAATTTGTATCCTTTTTTTTCAGAAAGTTTTAAAGTTTTCAACTGCGCTGCAAGTGCTGATACCATTGAAATGGGCGATAATTGGGGCAAGTGCTTGCTTTCGATTGTGTTCCTCTTGTAAGCCCTGAATAAATTATAATCTGATGATTTAGACGATGATGACTTTGAACCCGACGTTCAGACGCTGGCACCTCCACCTCCAGTGATCGAAACAGTTCCTGAACCTGCACCAGAGGCAGCACCCGCACCCAAAGCCAAACCACAGAAAAAGGTTTGTTGAATGAGGCATACTCTAGACACTTTTAATCTCTATTGTTATCAGAGTAACGCACTGAATATGGAAAGCTTTGCGCGAGAATTATCGGCTGCGGAGAGGGAGGAGATACAGCGACGGCAAGAGCTCGCATTGACTGCAGAAATGTTTGGAGGTTGGCCATGCTTACTCTTTTTTTATTTGAAATATTTGACATTTTNCAATCCCATTACTGGAATGCGCACCCGCATTCAATTTCCACGAACTATCGTAGTAGCGTTTTGTATGCGTATGTGATCTATACAATGACTTGTGGTAGCCAGCCGATGTACCAATCAGAGCTTTTATTCTCCCAGACGTGACTGGTACCAATTAACGACCCGGAGGATGGAAGGATTGGTTGGCCTAGGCGGATATCAATCCGGAGATCGATCCCCAAAGATGCTTTTGTGACAGTGCGCCACTTGCCGTTACATCACCTCCGCCCATTCCCAAGGGCACTAGCTCCAACTGCCTAGCTTTCTATTCTTCTGCTTCAAAAGCAAAACTGTTTTCCGTTTTTAAGAAAAGCCATGTACGGGTGATGAACGACCTTACAGTGAAATCCTTACGAAAGACGAGTTTGAGGACTGGGGACTAAAGGTTGGATCTTTATCTATAAAAGTACGTCTGCCATGGCTTCGTCAAGCGTTTATTTACAGGTTGGCACGTTTTTAGCAACACGGCACAAAGCTGCTCATTATGGTTACATGCTGAACAAACTCATTCAAACCGTTTCAGAGAACCGTAAGTTTTTGCTTGTGTATCATAAATTATTGCTTTCGTCACGGAAATGGGTTATACTGAAAATTTTCTTCTGACCTGATTGCTTAGAAATGTTCCTCATTTTCCTCTTTTTTAGTTGTAATGGACAAGTGTAATTATTTATCATACCGTTGAGCGCTAGAAATTCAACAATGGCGTAATATCTCTATCTCTATTGCAGAAACTTCTTCAGAAAAGCATTATATTTTAGCACGAATGTGACCTCAGTTAGAGATCTATCAGGCTAAATTTCCGGTGTCCGAATGAGAGCAACTTCTGAATTTTTGTCATGAACAAGTTCAAGCAAAAGAATCGCTTGATAACTAGGGCAAATAGATCATGGTTTGCAAAATTGAAGCGATAATCGTATATTTCTTCAAAATGGGACAGAATCTCTCGGACTAATTCTTTTCTCAAGAAGCACCATGTCCATTTCATTACCGTGTCCCAGTAAAGGTTAAAGACACCGTTCACAATGATTCTAGGGTATCTATTTAAGTGGAATAGTGGAAGCCCTGGTGCAGTGTAGGGAAAGGTGGCGATTAAGCCCGAAAATCGGTTGCTGTTCAGCCTCAGACGTTACGTTGGGTATTGAATTCAACCCTCCTCGAACAGTACGGTAGCTCCATGATGAAGTAGGCTTATTAAGGCAGCAATGACTAGAATACGTAGTTGCCATACACTTTACGTGGTTCACCTGCGCATTGGTTTTTCAAAAACAGTCGCCCCCATTAGAGAAAAGTTATGAAGTTTCAGGTCTTTAGCCACTCGGTGTTTCTGTTAACGTTTCTGAATTCTTTCAACTTTCAGTAGACGCAAGCGAACTTCGAACGATGTCAAATTATTTAAAAACTCTGGCAGACTCCAAAAAAGCTGCTGAAAAGGTTTGGAATTCCACTTATTTTGAGTGATTTGTGCGAGTTCGTAAAAGTCTGCTCCCCTGAGGGATGCATCTTCAGGTTAAACCCGTCCCTGGTTCGAAAAAGGCGCCCAAAGCAACGTTAAAAGTTACTAAAGCTAGCAACAAACAAGTTTATGACGATTATGGTGCAGGTATGCTCAGTTACCTTTTATGCTAAGATTTCGGTGTTTTGTGACGCTCGCGATGTATCGATGTATTTGTAATTGTTTTCAGACGACTATGACGACTACGATGATTTTATGTGATAATTCACAGCATTTTTATGTTTTGTCATTTCTGTTGGTACTTTCCTTTATATTGGTAGTTCGTTATGCTTTGCTTTTACCAGTGGTTCTTGTTGTTATTCATTGTCTGTTGTGCCTACTGAGCGGTTTTACTTGGAGCTGTTTTATCCACCTCTGTACAAGAAGAGCTCTAAATTGTATTGCCGTTTACTATATGGTGACAGTATTACCCTTCTTCTAGAAGAGAGAGAGAATGAAGATTTTCTATGAGCACTGCTTCTTTTTGCTGCGGTATTTTCCGATATTATCACCAATATATCCATGTTATGCCTTTTTTCTGGCGTGTTTGTGGAATTCTAATTTTTTCACTACCTATTGTGAACTGCCTTCAGCAGTAACAAAAGCGTGAGTCTGGTCGCTAGCTGATGCTTTATCAACGGCTGGCAGTTGTATGTGAGTCAGATTTGTTGCTTTTTAGCCGTTTCCTTTTGAGCTCAATTAGTTGAGTCAGTCGATTTGTTGCCGGTAGTGCCCAAACAATAGATGGAGAAAAGTTTTGAGGCAGAACTATTGCAAGTCATTCTGTCACCTATATTCGTCTTTTGCGCCTTTTGGTCAAAAATCCTTTTCTTAACTATTATGTTAACTTGTTGGTTTTTAGATAATTTTTAGGAATCAGTGAAAAATGACCCACTTCGATGATAGCTCTCGCGGGCGCCATGACCGATCGTCAGAAGCACTGGATTCAGAGGCTATTCGGCATATGCTGGAGGATGGCGAGCTGGATACGATGCGATGGGAGGATGATGATATAGGTTCGTAATTGCTAGCACACTTAGCAGCGCATCTGTAAACGTTTCAAACGAAGCATTGTTCCAGCTCTTCGGTCTGCAGCTTCTAATAGCCGACTTCCTTATGACAAGCTTACTGCCCAGGAATTGGTGTGCTTTCCCGATGTCACTGATGCCAAGGCATCTACAAACTTGTACCTTTTCATTCGAAACAAGATAGTAAGTTTACGTCAACAGTGAGCACAATGATTCTCAAAAGCTTCGTAAAAGTTGGACAAGACTTGTCCTCAATGTGTTTTAGTTGCAACTATGGCATCTTGAGCCAAATGTGGAGCTAACTAGCGAAGATGCAATAGAAAATCTTCCTGTTCCTTTCAACAGTAAGTATTTTATATTGCTTAGTAATTTGGGGCAATGAAGTGTAAAAGGAAGTATATGGAAGTGCAAAAAAGTAAGTACACATTGTTGTCATGAACGTATAATTCTGCGTTGTAGGTGATCGTAGGCTTGTGCGTCGAATTCACGGTTTCCTGCAACGTTATGGTTTCATCAATTTTGGAAACTTCCACAGACTAGCGTGTAGGTTTGCTCTGAAATACATTCTCTTTCGAAACATGAATTCCTACAGTGTTGACAGTAGAGCCTTTTTTCAGCAGCCTTGATCCTAACGTCGAAAAGGAAGAAAGTAATAATTATTGGTGCTGGCGCAGCTGGGATTGCAGCATTGAAACAATTACACTTTTTCGGATTTGACGTTACGCTGCTTGAAGCGCGGGTGAGCTTTTCCTTGATTATTGGTCGTTCGAAATTCATGCGAAGTTGATTATAGGTAGTTAGGGCTGTTTAGTTATCTTATTATTTACTGCATCTTGACAAAGATCAAAGTAACTTTCTCTATGGCACCCAAGTTTTTTCGAGTTTTCAATTCTTGAGTTCTGCTACCGTGTTATATTTTGGTCTAGATTTATGAACCTAGTTAGGCAGAACGTTTTGTCTTATAATGCATCGCCGTGAGTTTTGAGTTACGCAATCGTTTCATTCTGCAGAAACGACTTGGAGGTCGAGTGCACACATACCACCAGAAGGACACCAGTATTGTCGCAGATCTGGGTGCTATGGTTGTTACAGGAATAAGTGAGCGTCCAAAATTACTGTTTACTTTTCCTAAGGTATTTATCGTAAACTTGTTTGGAAGGGTTTGTGAATCCCCGCATCATTTTGATAAAGGGCTGCACAGCTACTTTTTATTGTTGAGATCCTAATTGAAATGATAGAAGCTGCTGTAAAATTATCTAACATTCCTTATAGATATGAAAGATGCGTCGTATCCCAAGATATCTCGCCTTCGTAAGTTATATCTTGTCTTGTTCTATGGAAAGGGGAATTTCGCGAATCTTTGTGCGATTAATTCAATCGATATAAGAGCGCAAATAATCTCTGTATGAGGTTCCACAAGTGATGGATGCCACCTGATTAGGCGAAAATTCAGTAATTATGTTTCAGATGGGAATCCTATAGTGACGATGATGCGACAAACGCAGTGCACCCCTATCCGGATCGCTCCTGATTGTCCTATTTATGATGAATACGGCAAGCTTGTAGATCAAAGAAAAGACGAACTTGTTGCGGAAGCTTTCAAGTAAGGCTTGTGTTATCTTTTTTGAAGAAGCCTTAGTAGCGGAATTTTGTTGGTAATGATGACTCTATTATTCTTTCTATGATTTTTCTCTGATATTCATATGGGTAAGATGGTAGTGTGATAGTAATTAATTTCATATTTGATGTATTTAGACTATCTTTTCCATGAAGACTGTACTTCAAATCGCGTCTTATTTTCCACCGTCCTTTTGTGGAAAGCATATGGCCGTAGAATGCTTCATACATTTTCCAGGAAAATTGGCGACACAGCTTCTTATATAGCCCATACTTTGCATGTAACAGAAGTAAACGGGAAGAAACTGAGCCTTGCCGATGCTTACAACAATATACTCGAGTGAGCCCTTCGTATTCTTATTGTATTTTTGCTTTGTAGACATATTGCAAGCTTTCAATACTGCTTTTGCCGCATGGTTCTAAATATCTGTAATCTCAGGATGTTGGAGCTTCGCATGCAAAGAAGGCGTTTGAAATTCTGGCAGATTTATGAAGAGATCTTGGAGAAGATGAAACAGGTTCAAAATGAGGTATGTCGATGTTGGATTGAATCAATTTTTTCTTCGAGATGGTACTATCTAAAAGACGAGGGATAAATAAATTTGTTTTATACTTGTAGATAACGGCTATAATTGGGACCCTTCTAGTCCTTCGTGTAGAAATAGCATCTTTGTAAAGTTTTCATGAGAAAAGAATGTAAAACTGCTTTCTTCGTAGGAGTGTTTCGAAATGTTAAAATGTTGTTGAGTCTTTGGAGCTTTTGCGAATTTTTCCGATGAGTAGTATTTTACCGGTACCCATACCCTTCGGTTGCGAAGCTATGAAACTTCGCAATCTCCTTCCTGAAACTTTCAATGGTCCTAGCATAACATATTACTACTTTTCAGATGACACTGTACAAGAAAAGCGCAGTATACTTAGCGGACAAGTTGAAAACGCAGGATACCTCACTTTTGCGGTCGGAAAATCCGGATACAAGACTCGAACAGGATATTCTGCGACGATGCTATAAGAGGGATTTAGGAGAAGCAATCAAAGTGAGTGTTCCTTCTCTGTTGGTATTCACAACGAGTAAGGTTGCATGTCTCGAATTTAAGCGTTATGATGCAGCAAGAGAACGGTTCCGTAATCTGGAAACAACACTTAGGAATCTCAAGAAGCAAGAACCGAGGTCTGTTTACTCTTCACATGAACTTTTTAATTCTGTTCCTGTTTACCTGCTAGGAATTCATGTACGACCTTGTTTTCGAGGAGAATTCTATATTGGTCAGTCTCTTTATTTCAGTGAAGTTTATATGAACCAGCGTGATCGTCGCCTTCTTGATTTCCATTTCGCGAATTTGGAGTTCGTCAGTGGGGGAACGTTGGATAAGTTGTCTCTGCAGCACTTCGATCAGGACGATGAGTTCCAGTTCACTGGATCACATATGGCAAGTAAGTACAGATGTTTCCGTGCTTTTTTTAAAGCACCTTCAGAGTAGGAAGGGCTAGTAATGATTGGTTTTTGGTTTGATATACATTTCACTGCATTAGAATGCTGATGTGAGATATCGAATCACTTTTACCTTGTGATGCACCTTGTAGCTTCTCCCAGCCATGAGCTTTTATTCTTTTTCCAGTTCGTGATGGTTATGGTGACTTCTTAACTCGACTGGTCAGCAGTGATGTTGCTGGATTGATCATACAGAATGCTGTGGTAGAAACAATCAAATACAATGACAAAGGTAATCGATTGCTGCACATTTAGTTAAGCGAACAGCCGCTACTCGTCTTAATTGATATGCACACCTGGATTGATAAAATCTATTCCAAGCTATTAAAAATTGTTTTCGAGTAGGGTGGTGAATTGGTTCATTGATTCTTCGATGAATGTTGAAGGTTGGCTTCCCTCAATTTTAGCTTGAGCTCTCGTACGAATAGCCTCTATACTGTTACATCCCATATATGTACAGTAACTTCACAATGAATCGTAATAACATACCAAATTTCAGGCGTTGAGGTCCATTACAAATCTGACGAATCACGATCTAAAGTGGAAGGCGATGTGTGTTTATGTGCCATACCTTTGGGTGTACTGAAGCGATCAGTTGCCAACTGTAATGAAGCACCACAATTCGATCCACCTCTGCCAGAATCTTCTGTCAATGCTATCAATGAAATGGGCTTTGGGAACTTTAATAAGGTTCGTTTGGGCTGCTAAATACTTGTACTTTCGTCTCGTTTAAGTTTTGAGGTTGTTCTTTTTTGTGAAAGATGGTGTTATTTCAGGTGGTTCTGATATTCGCTCGTCCGTTTTGGGATGTTACACAGAATTACTTTGGCCACCTCAACCAATCAAAGTAAGTTTTGTTTTCGTTTTCCCTGTTTTCATATTTCTGTTCGGAAGATTAAGGCCCAGATCATGATGTTTAAGGGCATCTCGAGGCGAAATGTTCATGTTTACCGCTCTCAGTAAAGCACCGGTTTTAATTGCAATGATGGCTGGTGAGGCGGCTAACTTGGAGGCTCCAAATGAGGTGTGTAAGCAGATGTTACAATTTTGTCCTAGTATTATAATTGTATTACTGCGGCATTTTCTTCAAGCAAGCCTACTTCCTCTTCAGGTCATAGTTCGAAAGGCGATGAACGTGTTGGCCAATATCTTTGGTTCTGCGTGCCCCAAAGGCGTAAGCTCTTTATTTTGTCTTCTATTTTATGTTTCAACTACATTTGGGTTTATCTTTCACATACTCTGTTTTAAGCCAGTAGAAGCTGTGATCACGCGATGGCATAAGGACCCATTTGCATCNAAATCCCTTTTTCCTAGGCGATTTATGGGACAGATTAGCGGAGCCTGTTAGAGCTCGCATGGAAGATGGATCGTACACCGGTGAAGAGCGAATCTTTTTTGCTGGAGAGCACACAAGTGGACGGTATCCGGCGTCTGTCCAGGTGGAGTGCTTACTTCCAAGAACCAATCTTGTTTTCGCCTCCTTCACAGATTTATACTAGTACGAGTACGAGAAAGGGCCATAATAAGGTTTCCTATTCTTTATAACGTTGTATTTTTAAGAGATGATATACAGTAGATTAGATGTTATCATTGTTTCGAGAGTTGTAAAAGTGAAAGGCTTGAGCATTGTATCGAGCTACGAATTGATGTCGTTTGCTGTTTAGGGTGCATGGCTTAGTGGAATCCGTGAAGCAGCAAGAATTGCTGATTTATTCCTTGGATGTCCTTTCTCAGCATCCAACGTCGTAGATCCTGAATGTGTTCTGCTCGACAGCGATGACGAAGATACCGAGGAAGTGACAGCTTGTGACACTGAAAATGCTGAAGCTGAACATGCGGCCGATGGAGAGACAAAAGAAAACGGAGTCAGCCACGAGGAGTTCCCTGCCACTACCGATCACAACGGTGAAGCCCCAAATAAGCGACCAAGAACTGATATGTAGTATTGACCGGGTGCGGTTATTTTGGCACGTATTGAGAGGCTTCTATGGACTCTTAAGAGATGGTTGTGACCACTCAAGTATACAATAAAATGCCTGGGAACCGGTATAAACATAGGCATTCTTTTTATGAGGGACAATTTTTCGAAAGGAATAGGGATTTCGAGCGTGGTTTTGTTGGCTTGTTACTGTCAAATCAACTCTGCTGTGCTGCCATTTACATTGAGGTTCCATCCTGTGGTCTTCATTCTCCACCTTTTTAAGAAAAACGGGTAGAGCAACAGTGGTGCTGTTCATAAAACCTAAACCCTCCTGATATAGTGGCTGATAATCTTGTCTGTAGTTGGGTTTCGTCGAAGAGCAAATTCATAGAACAAGCTAAGGTTCTTTCAGTGGCGCTTAGTTATCGCGCTGGGTAGTTTTGCAGTTTTCTTAATGGTGTCATACTGGTGGCCATAATGATTTATAATATCGTTCATACTAGTTTTGATGATATTACTTGAGAACAACAACTATTACAAACTGGTTTAGTCGAAGATAGAATTTGTACTGTCATGTAGCGATTGAGATACTGGATGTAAATCTTTACCCAGGGCTTCTACTAGGGTATTAGCTGCTTTGACTACATAACTTTAAGTGCAGGCGGCCAATTCCGATTCTTCAATTAATCACATTCAAGATCCTGCAAGTTTCAACAACCTGTCCTATAGTTAAGACGTCTCCGTCACAATCCCATTTCTATGAGTTAACGTTTTTAGACAGCTGCTGACACCTGTAGGTTTTGCGAAAACGAAATCCAATTTGAAGGGTAAAATGGGTGTACCTTCGCCCTCAAGTTGGGCAACACTTTTTCTTCAGCAGCGGTTTCTTTTTGAAGTATGAGTATATGTGAATAAGGGGCAGCAGAAAATGTGTTCGGCCTAAACACAGATATTGGATGGGAAATTATGGCAGTTTTTGTATTTTTGAGTGATCTCAATCTGATTTACAAGTTGAGTCAATGAAACCTCTCAAATCTGTGCTTGTTCTCTGTAGGGTTCCATTTCTTAAAAGGGACCATGATCCATGACTACTGTGAATGTTTTTTTTTNNTTTTTTTTTTCATTTTTGGAATTCGTGTAATTTGAGGATCTCTCCCTTATATAATTCCTTCGTTAATTTCCTTAGTTTTCTGATGCCTGTTTACTCTGATGCCTCAAGTTTTCATCTATTTTCAGCATTCTGTTGTATTTATCTCTCTTCATGTTTATTGTAGCTGTCAAAGATTACGTTGGCCGTTGATCAGATGCAAGTGATCAGTGTGATGTTTGGTTTGTATTTTTTTTTCTGCGTTCAGATAACAAATAATAGTTTCTGTAAAATTTACTACCATAATAATTTTGTGAATTATATAAAGTTCATTCCACCGTTGTTGGTATCAAGTGTTGCAAAGGGCGAATGGTATGGTTGAAGAAGCAAAGTGGAAGGAGGCGACTCATGGAGTAGCTGAAGCCTACTTCGTTGAGCGTGGATGAAGAAGGAAGCTCCCGTCTACACATCAGATATACGGGTAGGTGTAAGGTGCAGGAACGGTCAGAGCCGGACTTCAGTGTTGCATAGACTTATAGAGTGATTGCGTGATCTCGAATCTTTAGATAAGAGGGTGTGCGCTGAGTTTAAGGGTTCAGTATTATTACCACTGTAAAATATGGAATTGTTCTGGGGTGGGAGGGGGGATGATTAAGGCACCCTTCTCCTACACTAGGCGCTAGAACGGCGCAAAAAAGGAGGGGTTGCCGTTTTCACGGGCCCGTGATGATCCACTCCAAGCAGGATTAGTATGCCAACCTGCCATCCCTTACACTTTTAGAAAGAATTGGATCTGTGGTCAACTAAATGTTCAATTCTTCCCCATGCTACCTTTTTCAGGAAGCAATCATCCCAACCACCCCGATGCTTTCTCCTCCTGAGTCTTTGTTGAGAAACTGTACTCCACCGGCTAAAAAAACGTTTCCAAATCCACGACAGGATCGCAAGGCTTTCTACCCCTCCTACAGCGTCAAGTAGATCAAAGATAGGATTCCTTCGTATTCACATCAACCCTTATAGCGCCCCTATTGATCGAACTTGGGAGTGTTTTCTTTACTACGCACAATATTTTAGCTGTAAAAATTTTGATTTTGCCCCTTATTGCCAATAGTATGGTAACAAAAAACCCTCAGCACCAGACAATAATATATGTATTTGTAATGAAAAAAAAAGAATATCGTCATCCGTCTTCCTTAGGTCCTGCGTGGGCCAATTTCTAATATTAGAGCAACAAAGACTATTGATAGGTATGTTAAGAGTATTGACTGCAGTGGTTTACAGTCCGGAAATGACGTTCATGTTGCCTTCAGAGTTTACAGTGACGCATGCCATCAGAGCAGATTCATGCTTGTTTTGTCGAATATAGAAAATGTAAATCATCTTTGAAGAGTTCAGGAATGACTCATCATACCCCAGGAAGAGTTGAAGAACCCAAGTGGTAAGATCCACGGCTTCTCCATAGGAATTTTATAATCCAGGTAGTGGAACCCACAAATTCCCCTCTCGTCAGGCAGGTGAATGATGGAGCACGACTAGAAATTCTGTCTTGATGTATCCTCTTGTATCTTCATTACTTTCAGCCTACCTTCTCCTAACAGAGCTCGAGGTGGATCCCAAAGCCGGCAGCGGCCACGGGTGCGCCAGCAGCAAGACTGGGAGTCTGGTAGTGTAGCAGAGTTGGGGAAGACAGATAAGCTAATCTCACGAACTGGTCGAAGCTTGATTGTAGAGGGTCACAACTTGGAGTTCTCATGTTCGTCGAGTCTCATGCCTAATGCCTATTTTGCCATGGAGAGCTAATTTTTTGTTCATAAAGCAGGTCCCCTTCGAACCCTTCCCTATGCATTGTCCTCGTCTTTCGAAGTTTTGAATAGAAGGAATCCATCGTAGACAGAATCATGCTGACCATGTTCTATGATTATTGATGCCTTAACCGATCATATGCACTTTAAAAGGCATACAGATCTCGTCATTTGATCAGAAATACAATGTCCAAGACCACTGTTCACCACTGTTTCGTGGAGTTGTTTGCTATTTTTCTTAGCATGGAGCGAGAGAGTTTTTCGTTCAGCGAATAGTGCATCAGCACGATCCGTCCCATTACGATATTAAGGTCACAAACGCTAATGCTTTGTTGGGGAGCCTGGAGTTCGTCGATGAACGAACGATTTGATCGGTATGTTCCCTGAACAGATAGTTAATTAACAGTCCAAGTGTAGTGGAACAATCGGTCGGTCCACGCCGATAACATACACAGACCGGAAGGTCGCCGCTCATCGCTCACGAGATGGATGGTTGTAAGGTGACGTCAAGTTTATTGTGCAAATTTGCTGAACACACGCTCCCACTAGTCACTAACCAGTTAATTGATCTATGAACAAACGTAAGACACTTTCCATGAAAATAGAACTTTGCCCAGTTAGGAATTTGTGAAAAATCAAGGACGCGGTAGTGGAAAGAATGGGTGCCGTGGTACGTGGTGTGGAAAAAAGCTGGAAAAGACCTCAAATGTGTTCCGGAGTGGTTCTGGTGCGATTTCCTGAAATGCTCNGAAAAACGATTTCCAAAAATTGGATGGCTTTGATCAGCCCACATGAACGTGCTCTGTTTCCATTTAGAATCGTGGGAATAAGTGACTTGCTTTTGGATGCTTGAGTTTGATTAAGGCACTTGGACTTTCAAGGATAGAACGGACGAGTTATAGTCCTACCGAATCGTCGGACCTTGTGTAACAGCAGCGGAACTCGGCAACTTCACATCGCTGTCTGCTAAGGCTATAGACGCGTCTCTGGTTTCTAACAACGGAATCAAGCTATTGACGAAATGATCACACGTGAGTACGTCTCGAACAGATGTTTTAAGTTTTTTGTACTTACAATTTTCCGTACATTACCCTGTAGAAGTCCTGCAGTTTTATAACAATCGAAGACCGTTCAGGAGGAAGTAGGAGATTCTGTAGTCACCTGATACTCAATATTACTTTTTTTTTGAATTCGTATCGAACAATCAACTTTACGTGACAAAGTCAAAATGCTGTGATAATGTTGTAAGTGTAGAAAGTGCTCTCGTCTGCAGCAGTCATTGTATCCTTCCGCTAAAAATTCAAAACTTCCCCCCTCATAGCGCGAGGCTGCGCGCTAGCGGAGCCAGAGGACAGCGCGACGCGATTTTAGGGGAGAGGTTACCACACTCGTCTCTAGAAGAACGTGACGGTGTGAGGAACCTCAGTCTACCCAAAATTTCCACAAAGGAGAACCAGTATTTTGCAGCTAGAGCTTATTTTACAGTTAAAAGATCACAGAAGGGATGGCTTTCACGTTGGCTGATCATTTCATTTGAAGATTTTTTTTTTCTGAGTTCAGTCAGGATATTTGTTCAACTAATTCACTATTCTGGACAACCTTCTGTCGGTTAACTTTCATTAACCTTCTCGGAACCAGTTAAAAAGAGTTTTTCAAGGAAGTTTAAAAAAGACCTCGGAGCTACTTGCTGTTCATTTGCCTCACTAGTTTTCGTTTCAGAAAAAAGTGAAGTCGTGTCAGACTTCGCTAAAAGGATGAGTATGGAACGGCAATGGACATTTTAGAGGGTTTTTTGGAGTTTCTACAGGGATACTGATGGGAAAAAAAACTTTGCGAATCTTAAAAGGGAACAAAATACATTCGGGTTTTCAACGTTCTTTGGTAGACGGAGGTGATAGACGGAGGGTTAGATAAAGAATTATTTACTGAACTTCAAAATAGACCAGAATAAATGTGTCAATATGGAGCTATCTACACGTAGTCTTTAAAGCTGAGTGAAGTTAAGGGACATACGAATACCTCTTCTACAGAGCTGTGCCAAAATGGATAAATTAACATTCTCGCTCTAATACAGTCAGTCGAATTGTTGTAAAGGAAAATCAAGAGCCCGTGGTGCTTCTTCTCACTTTGGCT